TTTAGACCTTAAAGCGGATAAAACATATGTCAACGATGAGTTAGAGAAGAAAGCAGATAAAGAATATGTGAATGAAATATACCAAAGTTTGATAGGAACAACTAAAAATATTGAAACTATTGCTGGTGACTTTTCCGTCTATGAAGAAAATAAATATTTTAGAGGGCAATTGGTACATTCCTTAAAAAATGGTATGCGGTGTAAACTCATTCCGAAAAATAACAATGAAATGTATGTAAGTTATAAAAAGAATGATGACACACAAGTTAAAGTTCCATTAGACAACAACTGTTACTTAAACTTATATGGAGACGAACAAAAGAAATATTTAAGAGTTTATGAAATGACGGATATGACATTGTCTAACGTAGCTCCAGCACCGTATTATTTCGACTATGGAGATGATGTCAGAACGCCGCATGTAGATGAACAAAAGCTAACATTATATTTAGATTATTATAGATATAAAAGATATAATGCAATAGAAAAAACGAGAATAGTATATTATTATATAGATGACAAAAATAAATATTATAGTCAAGATTTTACATACCCTGAAAACATAAGATTATATTATAAAAAATATTCTGACACAAACCAGAAGAAACCCGAAATAGTTACACTATATTTTAAGTTCAAAAGAGACAATCCTATATTATCTCATATGTTTGATTTAATGAACCCAGTAGGTTCTATTTATACATCTATGGATGCGAGAGGTCCTCAAGCAATGTTTGGTGTTGGTGCATGGGAACAAATAGTCGACAGGTTTTTGTATTGTGCAAACTCTTCAAAGGAAATAGGTGGAAGTAAAACGATTACAGGTGAAAATTTACCTGCACACAGTCACTACATAGATTTAAGCACATCTCAAGCAGGTTGGCATAAGCATAGATATTGGGATTGGTCAGGAATGACAAAAGGTAAAGGATATGATGTTAAAGATGATGTTAAGTTTGCTATAAATTGTTACTGGGATGACACTCAGGGAGAAGGAAACCATACACATTTCGTTTCAGGATATACACAAACAACGGGACAAAGTAAAGAATACATGCCACCATTTATGACTGTATTCACGTGGTACCGCATTTATTGAATGAACTAAATATATTTTATGTCTGTAATTAATTAGGTAATGAAGTAGTGGATGAACTGCAGAAATATGTGTTATCGTTAATGTTTACGTCATGGTTTCAGGTTAGGCAGTTATGACTTATTTTTGAAGAACTGAAGGTGTCACTACGTCACTCAGTGTCACTCGGTTATTTAACTTTTCTGAAAAAATGAGACAACATGACATTTTGACAACATAGTGGGAAATGAGGAAGGCAGTTATGACTTATTTTTGAAGAACTGAAGGTGTCACTACGTCACTCAGTGTCACTCGGTTATTTAACTTTTCTGAAAAAATGAGACAACATGACATTTTGACAACATTTACGAAAATATGATGCAGTCCAAAAATAAAGTTAGTTTTAAAATTATTTTTATTTTTATTTTTTATTTCTATATAAATGACAGCAACAGCAACAGCAACAGCAACAGCAACAGCAACTTGATCATTTCTGATGAAAAAGTTATTGATTCATTAGCTGAGGAATTAGTTATGGCAGAAACTAAAACCCTCAACGAAAGAATTGGTGAAAACAAGATTGATTTACATAACTACCTCAAACATGATGGAGGAAGAGGAAGGAAAACTGGTATGGCTTTATTAGTAAATAAAATATCAAATTTAACGATTATAGATGTTGATATCAATAAATCATACAATGATGAACTTAAAGAAACAGTTAGAAAAGATATTTTATCAAAACTTTCGGATAAAGATGTTATCGTTAAAACCGCATCAGGAGGTCTTCACATTTATTGCAACACTAATTTCTTCTATGCAGTTTCGAACAGAATGATTAAATGTTATTCCTGCAATGATTATGATATTGATATCATGACTTCTATTGATGAATCAAAGCGTTCATTAGTGGTTATGGCTGATTCAAGAGTTCGAAAGAATGCAACAGAACCAATCAATACATACTTATTCATTCGTGGAAGTTATGATTCAGCATTAACCAGAACAGTGAATGATATATTAAATGATTTGAATATTAAGGTAAAAGTTGAACAGAAGAATGAAGAAATAAAGAATATCGTCAATGAAAACAAAGATGTAAACATTGACGATAAACTAGCTCAAAGCATAGTTGATGGCATCTGTGATTTTGAAGTACATAATGATGGTGGAAACATGAATTTAGAAAAAGAAATAACATTATTCACACTGTTTCAAGCAATTAATTCGTTACCTAATCATTTAATTGATGAAGCATACGATAACGTTTATAATTTCTGCAATTTAACTGAAAATGCAAAAAGTAATTTTGAAAAAGCACGTAGTAGATATGCACATTTAATGACTTCTCCATTCGTTTTAGTGAAGATTCTAAAACTATATCAAAAGGAATATTATGATGAATATGTTTTACCTTTATTACGTAAGCCAAAAATAACATTTGATATCAAACTTGATGACTCGTTTTTGATAACAGATATTAGACGCAAGGCTGAAAATCATCAGTATAAAAACAGTTCTGAAGTAATTGAGGATTTATCACGTGTAATTCGTTTTGTAGATTGTGGAAACAAATATTTCATTCAGAAAGATTACAACATACACGACAAAATGAATCAAATATCATTTGTTCTTCAGTCAAACATGAAAGAGTCACTCAAAATGATTAAATTATTTAAAGAAGAAGGTAAAACCATAACAGCATGGGATGTACTATTAAATCAATTGTCTTCATTAACCGTTAAGGGTGTTTGCTTTAAATCTGATTCCCCAGATGTTTTCTCAACGTTTCAAGGTTATAAATACAACATTCTTGAAAAGCCTGATTACTCAAAAATTGAGATGTTTATGAATTTCATTAAAGAAGTCATTTGTGATAATAACGATGAAGTGTATAAATACCTTCTCGGCTGGATTGCATCAATGATTCAACATCCTGGAATCAAGAATGAAACAGCAATTATTTTGAAAGGACTTCAGGGAACAGGTAAAAACAGATTTACAGATATTATTTCTGAACTTCTCGCTGGTTATTCATGTAAAAACATTACTGAAATAGGTGAGCTAACGGGTATTTTCAACTCAGTTGTTGAAAACAAAATGTTTCTTGTACTTAATGAACTCAAGAATGTTGGTGAAGACAGACTCGCAAACTTCAACGCTTTGAAATCAATTATTACGGATAATGAGATTAGAATTAATGAAAAGAATCAACCCAGAAGAACTGCACAGAACGTTGCAAACTTCATTTTCGTAACTAATAACGTCTACCCTGTCAAAATTGAAGTTGGAGACAGAAGATACGTAGTTTTAAGGGTTAATGGTAAATTTAAGGGTCAATTTGATTACTTCAAGAATTTAATGGATTCATGCACTAAGGAATTTTATGATAATTTACTGACGTATTTTATGCAATATGACCTTTCATCATTTAATGTACGAATCATACCGATGACTGAAGCCAAACAAGATTTAATCGAGTTATCAACAAATCCTTTAGATGTATGGATAAATACACATTATGATGAATTGAGTGCAGGTATGACATGTAAAAAAGCTCTATTCTGCAAACCATCAGACATGAAAGACAAAAACTTTCAAATGAGTATTAAGGATAAATGTGATAAGAAACAGAGAAGAATAGATGGTAAACAGACATGGTATTATGTTTTGAAAGAAGAAATGAAAGGATTATATAAACAGGTTGAACCAAACGATAATGAGGAATCATTTACTGACGATGAAATACCTGTAAATGAAGCTTTATAAAGTATGACTGGAATTTATTTTTGCATTAATCCTGTGATGTTGTCAAAATGTCATGTTGTCTCATTTTTTCAGAAAAGTTAAATAACCGAGTGACACTGAGTGACGTAGTGACACCTTCAGTTCTTCAAAAATAATTAATTATCGAATAACCCACTATGTTGTCAAAATGTCATGTTGTCTCATTTTTTCAGAAAAGTTAAATAACCGAGTGACACTGAGTGACGTAGTGACACCTTCAGTTCTTCAAAAATAATTAATTATCGAATAACCCACTATGTTGTCAAAATGTCATGTTGTCTCAAACTTTAGAACGGCATAATTTAAATTTTTATTTTTATCATAAATGAATACCCCACAAGCTCAAAATTTACCACGAATCATAACAAGGGAGGAAATGATAAAAATGATGCAAGAACATGTTAAAAATAACAAACCACTAAAACTGAGAAAATGTGGTTATGCAGTAATGATGGAAAGAGAGATGTTGTCGAAGAGGAATAAAAATTAAATTTGGATAGAGTTTAAAAATTCATCTTTATTAAATTCATCTCTTCCAATCAATTTATTTATTCTATTAAATTCTTTTATTTTTGCTTCACTCAGTTTAATGATTGAACGGTAAGTTTCTAATTTTTCGATTATTTCTTTATCGTTTTCAACCCCACCGCATTGCGACTTCTTTTTGTAATAGCATATTTTTGATTTAATTCTGTTTAGTTTCTTTTTATATTCATTGTCTGGACTCTTGACTGCTTTGTTGTCACTCATTTCTTACGAAATAAAAAAATTAAATATCATTTAAATATAATGGAGTAATAAAATAAATCGGAATTTCTATTAATTTCTTGTCAACTTCAACTAATACATTACCGTTAATATATCTAACAAATTCAGCTATTGTGTCAAATCTTCGTCTTCTTTTTGTCATTGATTTATCAGTTTTTCCATAATCAAGATGAATTAAAACTTTATCCCCTTGTTTAAAATTCATGAGCCCCGAATTAATTTGTTCACGTTTAACATCATTAACCTTTCCATTTGCTTTCTAATATATTCCCATTCTTTTGAAATATCATTTTTCATTTCCACTGGTTTCATGTTTATTGTTCTATGCCATGTATTATTGTAATAATATACTAACTGTTGTATGATGGAGTCATGATTTCCATCCCAGTATATCTGACCGTTAACCCCTAACGCATCTCTAAGAGTTCTCATTACCGCATCAACTATTTTATTATGAAACGTATATGGAGAGGATGAAAAGTAAAAATTAATTTGTGGGAAATAATGAGTCATAGCTGCCTGAAATCCTTTATCACCATCACCCCTGATATTATCTACTCTTTCATGATCTAGTAAGTATTGAATAGCTCTTCTTGTTTCCTGTTCTGTTTTCCCTTTCACTGGAATGCAATATAAATATCTAGTGTTAATGTTAATGGCAAATAAATAAGTAACTTTTCCTTTTGAATATTCCAGATGATCGATTTCGTATGAATATGGATATGGAGCAAATGAAGGTCGACTAAATTTTTCCTTTAATGGTTGAATTTTCGGGTCAATTGGTTTATTTAATATCTTGAAATCCTTTTTAAAATCTTTTTGCTTCTTTAATGTTTGAAATGGATATAATAAAGTGAATGATGAAGGATTAACTGAAGGAGGAGGCGGTACTGTCGTTGGAGGTTTAATTTTATCTGCTTTGATTTTGGATTTCATTCCTCCTTTCATTAATTCTGGATGTATTCTATTCATTTGTTTTAAATATGCTGTATATAAAGGTTTGATATACTTTCCCGCTTCGAGTTTATGTTGAAGGATGAATTCCAAAAGTTGATCTTCATTTAAAAGTCGGGCTGAATATGGTTTAACTAATGAATCATAAATTAAAGCTTGTGCATCATTTATGATCTGAAGGACCTGGGCGTTTTGTTCCTTTGTTTTTTGCGGCTCAGGATTATATAATTTATATAATTCATCAATATCTTCTTCTGTTAATACTTTATTTTTGAAATCTTTCAACTGTTTAAGTTGTGATTTAGTTTTTCCCTTTGAATATTCATTATTTTTAATTTTGTCTTTAATTTTAGAAATTATTTTATCATGATATTTCAAAAATTCATTTTTATAATATGGATAATAATATTCCATATCATCACCCGTTATATTGTTATCATATTTTTGGAGATATGCTTTTAAATCATAATAATTAAGAAAATTTTGATTAAATACTAAATCATCAATTAAATTTTTTAAATCTACATTATCCATTTATATAAAAATAAAATAAATGTTTTAAGGGTGCCCACCTCTTTGATCAAGAATCAAAACCATCATTAACGGTTCCTTTTGTCTCTTCTGTGGCATTTCATTAAATAAATGGCATACAACATCCATTTTCACAACATACAGCCTTAGTGTGTGCCCCTGTTAATGCAGTCTTACCAATTGTTAAGCGAGTCATTAACCCATTTTTAAGTTGTAAATTAATATTCTGACCATCAAATATCACTTTATCATTTATTATATCCAAATAATTTTTAGGTGTTAATTGTTTATTTTGTCGTAAACTAACACCTTTCATTTTTTGTGCAATCTTTTTAAAATCACTTCCATCAATTGAACCGTTGAATGATGTATAACACTTAGGACATAAAGCAACCATGTTATCACCTTGTTTCTCAATTGCTAAACCCAATAACTTCTTCTCATGTGCTTTTTCTTCAGCTTTATTCTTTAATTTAGGTTTAAATTTCTCATCAAAACAGAAGAAATCAAATGGTGCGAATTTGAAAATGTTTTTATCATAAAATTGTTTATCGGTAACAATTGCTTGAAATGCTTGAGTGTTAGGAAGATTTGGATCGCCAGCGATTGCCCAATAAGATGAATCAGTATCACCTTCAATGAAATGAAAACGATTAACATCCATGCATTTATACATAAAATTATAAATGAAAACCAAATACCAGTATTTAGCATTATCTAAAGTGAAGAATGCCTCTTGTAAACATGTATCACATCTATAAAATCTATCTTTGAGCATCACTTGATATGTATCTTCACCTATTTCTCTTATGTTTTTAAACTTATTTGACATACATGCAACGCGTGCCTTCCGTGTATTCATTATTTTAGTCTTTGTGTAATTTTGTGTATTCATTGCATCGTAACCATATGATCCATTAAGTGAAATCTTGCAAAATAAACTTTTTCCTTTATTTCCTTCTAATTCAGCCTTTTGTCTTTCGTTCATAAATTCGTTCGCAAATTCATTAAAGCAAGTGTTTTTAGTAAATGTTAAAATTGATTGAATATCATCAATGATAAAATGAAATCTGTCTATTAGATACCAAAGATAATAAGAAGAAAATGGTTGATATTGGTTGTGTGTTGATGCTAACTGAGTTAATTTTCTCTGTTTCTGGTCAACTGGTAGATTGTTTGATTTCATGTAATTATACATAAAACTGCCAATTGTTTTTTCATCTGTGATAATATCTAAGTTTCTTATTATCGGTAAAAAGTTTATGTAATCATTAATGTATTTTTCATCAATGTGACCCTTTACTTCAGCCACGAATAAAGTTTTTTTCTTTCTAATAATTCCCAGTGCTTTTGCTTTCTTTGTTGCTGTATCACAAATGATAACACCATTCAATCTTCCCGGCATATACATTTTATGGTCAGTATATTGAATGAAATCATGAGGATTAGTTAGAAAATGATGAAGGATATAATGAATTAAAATCAACACCAACGAAATGAGTCATAATGTTGGTGGTGTCCTCATTTGATACAGTTTTAGTTTCTGGATTATATGAAAGTTTATTAATGTGTGTGATTCCTTTAAGATTAACACGATGTTGAACATTTGATAGACCACCAGTAATTCCATTACGGAGAATGTGATAAGCTTCAACTGAATCTAAAGTCATTGGTAAATTATTTTTAATGCATAATTTCTTAAATTGATTCTTAAACGTTGAACATCTTCATCTTTATTTGATTTTACGACATTGCAATAACAACACATTAACTGACAATTTTCTTTGGTATGTGGTTTTTCATTATCGATTCTATCTAATGTTGGTTTATTTGCATATGTAAACGCTTTACCACACATTTTGCATTTAGATGAAAGGATTAAATCGTGATAGTATTGATAGTCATCCATTGAAACATTGTTTTTAGTATCCCTTTCTGCTTTTTCATCTTGTTTCTTATATGATTCAATTTTATATTTCCAATACTTTTTCGTTAATTCAAAACTTGATTCCACATTTTCTTCTTCTGGATATGTTTCGTTAGGATTGAAGTTCTTATATGCTAACGCGTAACGAATCATTGATGCATTCGATGATAAAGAAAGATTATGAAGCATGTCAATTTTATAAACAAATGTTTCTTCAATAATTTTATCGATTGGGTCAATCATAATTTCAACGTCTTTATTGCAATAATGAATAAAATATTCTAATCTATTCTCAAAATTTTTAGCATCATTGAGATATATTTGATAATCTGAATCGGATATTGTTTCTTGAGTTAATGCTGAATAAAATGAATCTTTCGTGAATGGTTCCTTTTTATATAATTCATCTTCGTAATTTTCCCATGTGATGAATTGATAAGGGAAAAAGGATTTAACACGTGATTTATTGTTTCCGAAATCTTGAGTGAATTGGTCTAATGTCCCACCCGCTATATAATTTCTGATGTCAATAAATCTCAATTCATATGGAACGTTTGTTTTCTTTACTATGATTTGCTTAAATTGTGAAGATGAACCCAACATTGATTTTATCTTCCATTTTACAGTATTTAAATCACGAAGAATTAAATTTAAATCAAACTTTCCCGAATTAAAACCTATGATATTCACTTTATTAAATTCTTCATCTAAAAGCTCTTTAAATGCTTCCTTCTGTTTCTCATTTAATGTATGAGACAAAGTCCCCACCGTTTGCGGCTTCATTAATTTTTCATATTGTTCAATATTTGATTTAGCAACTAATGAACAGGTTGAAAATAAAAACTCAATCCAATCAGAAATAAAAGAATCACTCGAAGTTAAGCAAAAATTCCTCGTAAATGTTTTATCACAGTCTACGACCTCGCCGCTTTGCGGCTTTATTTTGACAGTTGATGATACCATAAATGGTTTTAAGTAAGCGTTCAAAGTTGCACATTCAGAAAGTTGAAGTTCTTCTTTAGTCTCTAATGTTTCGAAGTCAAAAGTAATATAATATCTTGTCGGTTGATAATATTCCTGCAAATTATGTGCTAATAGCCACTGATATATCTTCTGTTTCGTGATATGTGGTGTATATGGTTGTTGTGTGTTTTGCAATTGAACGTCTTGAATTAATCTTCCATTATTTTCTTTACATTTCTCACAATGTTTTAAAAATCTTCTTTGGTTTTTCCTTTCTGGATCATCACGGATAGAATAAACTTCTTCTTTGCAAAAGGGACAAACTTTATATCCTGTGAGTGCTTCAACGTCTGTTATTCTGTCAGCATGAAGTTTTCCACATGGACTCTGTGTTAATAAAATATTTACTGTTTCAAATTCTGGATCTATCATTATTGATTCCACTAATGGAAAGTCTACCTTGTTAATGTCTACGTCTTCTGGTTGAGGGTCACAATAATAAAAATCAATATTAACGTTTAACATTCTTGCTAACCTCTCACTTTCTGATGAAATGTCAAATCCTTCATATGCATCTATGGCTTCATTTAAATAACTTCTACGAGTTTTAGGATTAACACCATCAGGAATGTTATAGAAGCGTTTAAATAACCTTCTACCTTCGGCTCTTATTTGATTATCATTCATTTTAGCTGTTCCATTTTTGTTCATTTATGTAAGAATAAAAATTAAAAAAATAAATAAAAATAAAGTTTATTTTTTTAAAGCCCGAGACTCAGAGAGTCCAGGGCTAAAGTCCATAAAATGAATTAAGAACACATAAATTTTTATCATCTGCGACGTGACGAATGCATTTTAATTTACTCAAGAATGCATACCCTGATACATTAAATCTAATTCCTGTCTTATTTAATTTCACAACTTTGAAAAGGAATGTATGAATAGCTATAAAATGATGAGATGATGTTTTATGGGTTGCTTCCATTTTTTCTGAAATAAATGAATAAATATAATGTTTATAAGTTTTCATATCTTTTATGTTCTTAATAACGAATGGTATAGACCTTTCCACTTCGTCTTCCTTCGGTGCTGTTCTTTCATATGAAACATTATTGGTATCTTCAATAATGAAACCACAATCGCATAAAATTTTATATGTACCAATGGTTTCTTTTGATATTTTATCTAACAAATCAAAAACTTTATCAACACCTGTACATTTATTTAAATAATAATTTGTGTAAATATCATGGTCTTCTTTCTTAATCGTATTTGTTGCATATGTCACGTTTTTAAGAGCTTTTTTGAATTTTTCGGAATCTAAAGGTGGTGAAAGTAGGATACAGGGGTATTCTTCATTATCAATAAATTGTAACTTATGTTTACGAATAAATTTAGTACCTTCTTCTGAAAGTGTTTCGTCTATTTCACCATCTAATAAATTTTGTGTTGATTCCAAAAAGTAATTTTTATATCTTTCTTCATGAGATTTCTGAACTTCTGATTCTGAAGCTGGGATATTCATTAAACCCTCTACTTCATTCTCATTATATTTTTCAACTTCTCTTAATTCCTTAATTTTTTCATCTATTTCATCTCTTATTTTTTCCAGTTTTTCAATTTCATCGTATTCATCATCATCTTTAATCCGTTCTTCATAATATTCAGGGAAAACATCAGGTTCTTTAGGTTTTTCTTCTTCAGATGTGGGATATAAGAAATTTATAACATCATCTTTATTCATTTTTCCATCATAATCTAAATCATTTAAAAACTCCGCGAATTTTTTACAATTTCTTAAATAATATTTATCAACTTCATAACCTGCCTCCTCTAATATATCCTTTATTTCCTCATTTGTGAATTCCAATTTTTTAACGTTGCTAGTTTTGACGCTCATTTCATACAAATTAAAAAATAAATTATTCAAAATTGTAAGACATGAATTTCTAAAGTTTATTTCTCATTTATGAGGTCTTTGATTATGACTCCATTGATTTCATTCAGGATTTAAACAATGTTTAATTAATCGCGGAATATCTGACATCATCTATATATAGCTTCTTTTATAAAAGATAAAAAAATTATTTTTTTATTTCATTATGGTAGTGAATCTTTCATTCATGAAAATAATTATTTCTAATTTCTTTTACTCTCTCGTATATACTAGATTTAAAGAATTCAGAACATTTCCCATAATCTCCTAAATGTTTTCTTATCTTATTGGTTTTCCATTCATTATATGAAACTGAATAAACTTTATCTTTATCTTTACACCTTTCATCACTTCCAATATATTTATATCTCAGTTTTGATTTAGCATTTTCATATTCATTAGCGTTTAATAATTCACAGTCTTCCTTTTTAAATTGATGTTTAAGATATTCAGGATTAACAATTCTATAATATTGCTTCCCTTTAAATCTTTGAATATAAACAGGAACACCATCCTCTAAAATTCGATAATCTATTTTATCTGGTTTTACTTGTTGGGTCATTTATGTAAGAATAAAAAAATAAATTATTTTTAAAAATAACTTTAAAAATAATGATACAAAATCGTTCAATATTGTATGAATTCTTACGTTTACAAAAAAAGTCACAAAACCCGTCCTATCCTACTACTTTAGGGATTTTCTCTCAAAATATACAAAAATAGTAATACCAATACATTTGTCTAATATACTTTAAAACCATCGTGATAAAATTCAAAAACGAAGAGTTCTTCTCTCCAAATTTTTTTCAAAATCAAAAAAATGAGATAAAAAAATACGTTTGGAAAATTCATTTTTAGCATTTTAGGAATTTTCTCACTTTTCTTCCAAATTGACATCCTTAGTATACAATGTTTTTAGAATATTTTAACATTGTGGCGATTTTACAGTTTTTATCACAATGCATTCAATTTCCGATCAAATCGATAATAATTATAATAATGCATTAATCATGTAGTTATTCATTGAATTCGTAAATGGCCGGGCAAAATTTAGCCATCCTAATCACTTCACTTGACTACTTATGTTTTGAAAAATTTGAGAGGTCTGAAATGTTCCATCTTTATTTATGTCAGCTATTGGTATTGATCTTGGTACAACATACTCATGTGTTGGTGTCTTCCGCCACAATCGTGTTGACATTCTTGCCAATGATATGGGTAACCGTACAACACCTTCTTATGTCGCATTCACAGAAGACGAAAGACTCGTCGGTGATGCCGCTAAGAACCAGGCCGCTATGAACCCACAGAACACAGTCTTCGATGCTAAGCGTATGATTGGCCGTAAGTTCTCTGATCCAGTCGTCCAGAAGGATATGAAGCACTGGCCATTCAAGGTCGTCCGCAGTGATGGCGACCGTCCAAAGATTGAGGTCCAGTTCAAGGGTGAGACAAAGCAGTTCTTCCCAGAAGAAATCTCAGCCATGGTCCTCGGCAAGATGAAGGAAACAGCTGAGAACATGCTCTCCGAAAAGATTACAGATGCTGTCGTTACAGTTCCAGCTTACTTCAACGATGGCCAACGTCAAGCTACAAAGGATGCTGGTGTTATCGCTGGCCTCAACGTCCTCCGTATCATCAACGAGCCAACAGCCGCTGCTATCGCTTTCGGCCTCAACGAGAAGTCCGACAAGGAACGCCACGTTCTCATCTTCGATCTTGGTGGTGGCACATTCGATGTTTCCCTTCTTGATATCGATGGTGGCATGTTCGAAGTTCGTGCTACAGCTGGTGATACACACCTTGGTGGTGAAGACTTCGATTCACGCCTTGTCGATTACTTCGCTGATCGTTTCCAGAAGAAGTTCAAGTGCGATCTCCGCGAATCACCACGTGCTTTGAGAACACTCAGAACAGCTTGCGAGCGTGCTAAGCGTACAATCTCTACAGCTGCTAACGCTTCCATCCTTTGCGAGTCTCTTTACCAGGGCCACGATTTCCAGGATACAATTTCTCGTGCTATGTTCGAGAACTTGAACGATGAGCTCTTCAGATCCACACTTGGCCCAGTTGCCCAGGTTCTCAAGGATGCCAAGATGTCCAAGTCCGATGTCACAGATATCGTTCTTGTCGGTGGTTCATCACGTATTCCACGTGTTCAGCAGCTCCTCCAGGAGTTCTTCAACGGCAAGCAGCCATGCCGTGGTGTCGACCCAGATGAGGCCGTCGCTTACGGTGCTGCAGTCCAGGCCGCCATCATCAAGGGCGATAACTCCGAGGCAGTCAAGGATATCTTACTTCTCGATGTCGCTCCACTTTCCCTTGGTATTGAGACAGCTGGCGAAATCATGACAGTTTTGATTCCACGTAACACAACAATTCCAGCCAAGAAGTCAAACATCTTCACAACATTCGCTGATAACCAGCCAGCAGTTACAATTAAGGTCTACGAAGGTGAGCGTACAAGAACACGCGATAACAACCTTCTCGGTACATTCGATCTCACAGGCATTCCACCAGCACCACGTGGTGTTCCACAGATCGAAGTCACATTTGATGTCAACGCTGATGGTATCATGAACGTTTCCGCTCAGGATAAGTCCACAGGTAACGTCAAGAAGATCACAATCAAGAACGACAAGGGCCGTCTTTCCCAGGCAGATATCGACCGCATGGTTTCTGATGCTGAGAAGTACAAGGCTCAGGATGAAGAGATCAAGAAGAAGACAGAGGCAAAGAACGGTCTCGAAGGTTACTGCTTCGGTGTTCGTAACTCTGTCAACGGCGAACTCGGCTCCAAGATCGATGCTGCCGACAAGGATGCCATTCTCAAGATTGTCAATGACACACTCGCTTGGATCGAATCCAACCAGGACGCTTCTGTCTCTGACTACGAGAACAAGCAGAAGGAAGTCGAAGGCCAGTTGATGCCACTCATGCAGAAGGCCTACCAGTCTGCTGCTGGTGGTGCCGGCGGAATGCCAGGTGGTGTTGACCCATCTATGTTCCAGAACATGGGTGGCGCTGGTGGTGCTGCTCCAGGCGCTGGCCCATCTGCTGGTGCTCGCCCATCAGGCTCTGGCCCACGTGTTGAGGAAGTTGACTAAGTTACTTCTTTCTCATAAGTTTGTTATCAAAGTAAACGACTATTATCATATTATTTGAATTAAATTAGAGTTCTATATCTTTGTTACCAATAGATTAATAGAATGAATCCCATTTGATTTCGGAAATAAATATTTTACTTGCTAATGATGATTAGTTATCGTATCATGAAAATTAAACGAAAAGGATCGTTCAAGATGAGCAAAATTCAATGTTAATAAAGTAAATTGTTTATTAATTAAGCTATTTTCAGGAATTTTTTGAAGGAGGACGTTTTTTTTCCTTCTTTTACAGTTGTGTATAAAAAATACATTAAATATGATTTGTAATAAACGAAAATAATTAGAATCGGGTAAATAAATCGTTAGATATTTGTTTATATTAATTAATCCTTCTTACACTAAGAATGTATTAGCAGTGGCGGCGAATGATAGCTGAAATGCTGTTAATTTGCCCGAAATTTTGATAAGTTTTGAAAACTTTTTAAAGTATGTTCATATATATTTGAATTCGAGAACATGTGGTATCATTAACTTTAAACAATCGATATTAAGTTATTGATGAAAATTGATATCAATATTCAACAATGTCGAGTCTTTTTTGAGTGAAAGCTATTTCCTTGGACACTTGGAATGAAGTTCTTCTGGGTGATTTTTTCCAAATTTTTTAGATATTGGAAAATGTCTATCCAAATTTGTAGAAAATGATATTGATTTTTACAATTCTCGAATTTTTTTGGAAGAATGAGGTTACAAATATTGAAGAATTAGAATTATTAAAGAAACAAAGCATTTTTATTGTATTAGAAATCGGCACATACATTTTATTTTTGCTAATATATAATTTTTCCCATAAAATATATCAATTGTTTAGCAAATTTGCTAACGTATATTTTTTTAATGAATTCTTTTTATGAAAATCATGATTTAATGTAAAATATTTATCATGCTGAAGAAGACTCTAAAACAATATGTGTTACATTTCACTTAGATTTCAGTTCTATTGCAAAAATCTTAAAAATTTTTATAGAATAGCTGGATAATTCATTATTTCGTGAATTACACAAGTAACAAATTGATACAATAAGCATTCGCTTTAAGATGACAATGAATTTAATTTGTTTGAAATTCGTTATGGATTTGTTTATTTTAATTTGACCAATTTATAGAGAAACTAGTTGTTAATCTCAATTTATGTCCAAATTATAGATTTCCCTTAAAATTAAGTTTTCTGATCAAAAATGCGGTCTCAAAACTCTGCTTGATTGGAAATTCAAGGTAAAATATCAAATAGGTTTGATGAGGCTGAGTTCCAGCCATTCATATGTGCATCATTAACGTATCTTTTAGAAAATGCTATGGAAAATTTGAGACCTGTAAAACATTCAATTATTACATTGGTTTAATTTCAGACAAAAATAATGACCGATGATTTGTACCATTTCATTTTATGAATTAAATTTCCTTGGAAAATATATTGTTCGACTGTTTTCTTTTACAGCCGATCATCGTAAAATTTGAATAAAATGATTCCATTAGTGTTTGTTCTTAGTTTTATTATTGGACTCATTAGTGGAATCATTGGACTATATTTATTACTTGCTTTGATTGCAATTGTCACACAGCCAAAGCGCAAAAGAAAACCCAATCTTTATATGAACTCACCTATCTTTCAATATAATCAAGATCTATCAACAGAGTGGCTTAACACACTTGTAGCAAAACTTTATAGGGAATCCACTAAGTCAGATATGCTATTTCCAATTGTAAGACACATTTGTGAAAAAGTCGCCGAAAGCGAAAAGACCATAAACCGCCTTACACTAATCAGTTTTAGCTTAGGGCAAAACCCTCCTTCTTTGAAGTCGGTTAAATTGCTTCCAGAAACAAATAGCGATTATTTGCAGTTTAATTTTGACTTCTCTCCAGAATTTAACGTTAACCTTGACTTGGAGATGCAGGTTGTCGCGCGTCTAAACTTCTTAATTAACGCTGGATGCGCAACATTTCTACAATATGTAAAAGGAGGATTGAACTTAGCAATCCCTAGATCTTACGGGCATGGGCGAATATTCTTTTCGGATGATATTGATATGAGCATCGTTGTAGGAGCTGCATTGAATGAATACCGTGTCAATTCTGATGAATACGAAAGCGCATGGAACAGAATACAAAAGGTTGCCGAATCTTTCATCCGTAAGATCAATATAAAGATACCTCTTAAAGTTCCTGACAATAATGGCGAAAAAAAAAAAGATAAAAAGCCAAAAGATGAAGAAGAAGAACCTGTAAGTAGTCATAAGGGATTTTTTGATGTCAAAGTCAGCTTTGGTCGTCCGTCAGATATATTATTTATTAATTGATGCATTGTATGTAATTTATATATTGTTTGTAAACTTTTCAAGCTTATAGACCGCCTTTTTACGTGCCATAAAGTGTTCTCGAGCTAAAAATTAAACGGATTTTGATAAATGTTAGTAATATATATGAAATAATTTAATTGTAGGTACCATAACGGAAGTATTTAAAGGTATTTGTTAATGAGTTGCGATATCAAATATTTCATTTTGATCAATTTCAACATTTTCAAAACTATAAGTTTTCTGACAAGCGAGGATATTATCATTGCTTTTGATACTCTGAAAATACAAATAAATATCATTGATTATTAGAGATTCATTAATTTGATATTACTCATGAGAATTGGGCTTAATAATTGATGAATTATTAAAATAGTTCTTGAGTTCTGTATAATAACCTATCCATTTACATCAAATTCATGAAATAAAAAATTATCAGATTTCAAAATGATAGACAATATCACATATTAAAAATTTAACAACACCGGTATAAAAAAATTCCATTTTTTTATTATTCCTTTTTTTTTATAAAAATGACAGAATTTTTTTTTCCCATTCTATTTATGTTTCAACGTGTCGATTATGCAACCGAAAAAAAGCTACATACAGATTACATTAGAGTTTTTGACAGCATATACACGCTTGAGGCACTTACGGAAGAAGAAATCGAAAACATCTTTTTAGATATCAAAAAAGTTTTGATAGAAACTTATAATATTTACCCATCAACCATTTTAACTGATATCAGTATTGTATCTATTTATCGTAATCGATATTTAAATGAATATTGGAAATTATTTTTAAAGATTTATAACGAATATAAGCCAAAACTATCAAAAGACATATCAATTATCTTTCAATACTATATTTACAAGTATCTTAATATCATTTGCGACAAATCTCTCGAAGAAAAAATAAAAATTTACGTTTCAACTCACAAATCATTGGAACCACATCAAGATAATCCACTTTTACAAGCAATCATGACTGATAATGTTAAAGAATTGAAAGAATTACTCAAAGAAAAAAAAGATTATAATCAAAAATTTCGAAGCGAATTCTTTCCAAATCCAGATCATGAATGCACATTAATAGAATTGTGTGCATATTATAATGCTGTAGGTTGCTTTTTAGCATTAAATTCTCTGGATTATTTTAAATTTTCACAAGAATTTCTTGAATTTGCATTTTTACACCAATGTTCAACAATAATCGACATAGGTTTGTCTATAATAGAGCTAAATGAAGGATGCATGAAATATGCAATAATATCTCACAAATTTGATTATGTTTATAAGTATATGAATTATAAACCACTTCCAATCAATCTGGATGACTGTTTTTCATTCAATAACCTTCTACTTTTTTTAAATATAGGTGATAAACTTTACAAACTCGAAAAATCAACTGGAAACATTTATAAAATCAATGATAAAATATATCCACTTGACAAAAGGACGACAAGACTAGTTTTCAAGAAAATTTATTATTTAGGAAAAAAATCGTTAAATTGTGATAATACATCCAATTTAACAGAGATTTCTGAACGTTCCATCTATTTTTCGAAGTTCCAAACTCCAATAAATCAAAAATCCATAAAAATCAACGACAAAGAGCACCAAATGCGTCCTTCTACAATAGAATTAATCAATGAACTGGAACCTAGTGATAATTGGTTATTTTTCGATTCAAATAATTCGGAATATATCAAATTCATTTTGGAATTAATTTCTGTGAAGCAATTTAGAGAAATACTGCAACCCAAAGCCATAAAAGGCTATTTCCAGAGATCTTTTGCTGAATTATTGTTTAAATATAATTATCTTTCACAAACAGACGTCAAAACGTGCGGAAATGCTTGGATCCAATTCCTTCTTGATGTTTATGAGGGAGAATCATTGTATTCCATGAATGAAAATCAAAATAAAATTTCAAAATTATTAATTCGAAATGCAATGGAAAATTTCCTTCATATATGCAAAAACCTTGTTTTATTTGGTCCTTACACATGCATCCTATACATCTGGAATGAGAAAATCTGCCAAAATTCAGAAGAAGAAAAATCTAAACTTAATTACTTCCCAATATCCATTCCGTTTATACCAGAAAATCACCTGGCTGTTGATCCTAATAATTTAGATCCAATTGTTGATTTATTTGAGCAGGGTTACAAAGATATCTTAATTTACGCATACCTTTCAGAATTCCATACAATATTCGTCAACTTCCTTGATGAATTCCCTACTGTTGATGATTTCCACAAAGATTATACGGAAATTATCCCCAAAATTAAAACGAGATTAATATCTCATGATTATTCAGACCAAGCTCTAAGTAATTTCATAGATTTCTTCGTGAGATACTTCCCTGATAATGAGTTAGGTATTTCTCCTCAAGTCGAAGAAGATGTTTCGAACAAAACAGGAATAGATATCAAATTCTTCAAAAAGATGAATCCAAATTACAATTTAGAAGAAGAGGAATTGGAAGAAAAGAGAAACAAAGATGAATTTGTTGAAATGTTTAGTGACGCCAGATTCCCATTAAATGAGTATTACCGACAAAACGTTGGTTATACATTTAAGACTAATCTGAACTTTAAAGTCGATGACGAACCTCCAGACTTCGGATGAACAAAATATTTTGAGATGAAGTTACTTTTAATGTTCGAATCACCTTCCCTTGGATTGAAGAAAATCCGTGCAATGAATGTTAACATATTTTTATTATTATATTTGTTAATAACTTATTTTTCATTATTTTATGTCAAAATAACGAACATAAATAATGGATTTAAGTTAACCGACAAGAGAAAAGAATAAATGTTTTGTATTTTAATATCAAATCAAAGTTTTTGCAAAAATTTTATTACCTAATTTGAAATTTAGGTCAGGTAAGTGGGGCTTCCAGGCGCGTTGCGCCCTCTAGCCCATAAGAAATTTTACCCAAGACCCAAGAGGAGGACCGAACCCCAGCCGACCAGCCGGTGACAAAACCAAAACCGTTGTTATTTACATCATATTAATGGTGTCACTTTTTAAAATGTCACTTTTTATGTCGCTTTTCACAAATTATATATATTTTCATGTTTTGTCACTTTTCTGTCACTTTTCGGGTAAAAACATTTTTATTATTATATATAAATGAATTTTACAAAACCACCGTTACCGTTCTTTGGAAATAAGAGTAGATGTAAAGATATTATATTGAGAGAACTTAAGAAACTACCGAATGGTCTAACATTTGTAGATTTGTTCGGTGGAAGTTTCTATATATCCCATTTATGTCATACCGTATTTCCTGACTCAAAGATTATATGCAATGACTTCGACAACTATATGAACCGTCTCAAACATATTCCAGACACAAACAATATATTGAAAGAGTTAAAAGAAAAAGATACCTATAGGTAAGATGGAACGTATACCATTAGATAAGAAAAATATTGTGAGAGAGGTTTTGAAAAAAGCAGAATATATAGACTGGGATATATATCTGCTAGACTATTATATAGTGGTGCTATAAGAGTTCATGACATTGAAACACTTATGTCAAAAGTTTTATATCTTAACTATACAAATGTTTTCAAAGAGGACATAGAAAAATATATTGAGGGTATAGAGTTTGTGAGATGTCATTGGACAGAGTTGTATGAAAAATATAAAGACAAGGAAAATGTTTTCTTTATAGTGGACCCGCCGTTCTATAACACATGGGATTTTCAATACCAAGTAGACTGGACTTTGAGAGACTCTTTAGAAACTCTTTAGAAACTTTAGACGTTATACATAACCATCCATGCTTTTACTTTACATCCGATAAAAGTGGTTTGGAAACCGTTATGAGATGGTTAGAGGACATACATGACTATGAGTTTATATATGACAAGATAGAATATGAGAGAGGTCCTATAAACCGGAGAAAGTGTCACAATAAAGAAATTTTATTAGTAAGTAAATGTGGTTTGAAATAGGACTACTTGTTTTAGGTTTTTTCCATTGTGTCATTTATTTATTTGACGTGGCAGAAAAGTACAGAGAATATGAAGATGAACCAATGCCTGCAAATGTTCAGCATATGTACTCGTAAGAGATATTTTTATCTAATATTAAATGGACGCACAGAACTTAGCGAATGCACAGCAACCTGGACAACCAAACCCAGAGAATATTCCAAATGAAGTTAGAATACAAACTGCAATGGCAAACTATGGTCAAGTGCCAACAGATGTACAAATGCAAACTGCCATGTCAAATGACGCTGCGTTAGGTTTGCCACCATGGTATGCAAATATGAGATGGAAAGAGTTTTATACAAACCCTGAAGTGGGATATAAACAACTTTATGCAGATGACGCGAACACAGGAGTTGACCCAGAATATGTTTTCTACCAGAGGAGAAACAGAATGTATGAGCTCCAGTTAAAGAATGCTATGGAACTCAACAGGAAACGTAAGAGACTAGGCGGACATTAGATTTTTACATATAGTAAAATGGGTTTCTTCAGTAGTATTGGAAACTTCTTTCGAAATGTTGGAAGAGGTATATGGAATGGAATAAAATCTGTCGGAAGAGGAGTATGGAACGGTGTCAAAAATATTGGTAAAAGAGTAGGTCAGTTCGTTGGTATTATACCTAAAGACCCTGAACCAGAAGAGCAAGTTCCTGTTATACAACAGCCTGAACCTGCACCACAGTCAAGTTGACAACCACAACCAACACCTCAACCATATTAAAAAATTATATTTTTACCGTTCGATAGTAGTTGTATATGAAACTAAGTTCTAAGTAAAACGCATGGTATAATGGAATTATTCTTTTTCTTCCATCTGTAGTAAACCATACTTGAAAGTCTGAAATACTTCCACTTGGTGGTTCGTATAACTTTGTAGGTTTTTCGTAAAAGTCATTTGCCAAGCATAAGAAAGAGTTTTGGGCGCCAGAAAATGAAGCATGAACAATAATAGCATCTGGGTCGAAAATATTTTCATATGTTCCATTAGGGTTTTCGACTTCATAATAGTCCGGGTGTACTGGATATGCTGCAGGCTGATTTAACATCCTCATAAATCTATACCATGCCAAGTTGTTATATTTTGTAGAAATATAAACGTTTTCTCCAAGGTCTTCTATTTTATTGATTTTAACAGTTGCATTTTTCCTGTCATAAATAATATCGAGATGGTATTCTCCTTCGTCAATGTTAAACTGGTTTGCATATTCAATATAGATATCGTTTATTTTTTCTTGAAAAGCTTGAAGAGTTGTTTCTAAGTTTATAAGCAAACTAACTTGTAAAAGTTTTCCCTGTTCAAATTTCTCATACATACGTTTTTCTTTGTTATAGTATCGAACTTCAAAACCGACCGTAAATGGGAAACCATGTATGGCTTCTGAAATGAACTTCATTCTACGAAAGCCAATAGCTTTTGTGACGGATGGGTCTCTTAACCATCTTAATGGGTAGTCAAAACGATAGCCTTCATGCTTTACGGTATCTGTCTCAAACTTTTGACCGACATTAGTAAAAAGTTCATCTAATGGTTTAGTTGTAGCAACTCTAGAATTTTCTTTTTCTATTGGAAGCATATTTTATCTATAATAAAAATGTCAAATGAAACAGCGTCTATGAGAGAAATACAACACAACCGACAACTCATTATGCAAGCTCTAAATAAGAACACAACAAACTTTTCAAACTATTCTAAGATATCTGAGTCATTGAAAGGGGGTGACTTAAAACTGACAATAAACCCAATGACAGATGAGTTTCTGTTTCAAGACAATAAGAACCATACTGTCTGTATAAATCCAACAAAAGGAACTTTAAACGAGAAACCTATAAATGAACTTCTTTTGAAAGCAGATGTTGACAACAAAGCTGACAAAGAATATGTAGACGATGCAATAGCAAAAGAAGAAGAAAGAGCTAACAATGCTTATGCAACAAAAGAACATACTCATCCTGAACTAGCAGACAAAACATATGTTGACAATAAAATGTCAAGTGAAGTGACAAGAGCTGAAAACGAATATTCTAAAAAGACTCATATACATTATATTAACCAAATACCAAGTCTTAAGGAAACATTAGAGACAAAAGCAGATAAGACTCATACACATTCTATATCTGATATTACAAACTTACAAGAAACCTTAAACAGGAAAAGTGACGTTGGACATACACATACCATTGCAAATATTACAAACTTACAAGAAACCTTAAACAGGAAAAGTGCCGTTGGACATACACATACCATTGCAAATATTACAAACTTACAACTAACTTTAAACAGGAAAAGTGACGTTGGACATACACATTCTATATCTGATATTACAAACTTACAAGAAACCTTAAACAGGAAAAGTGACGTTGGACATACACATACATCTTCTGAAATAACAGACTTAAACGTTAGCCTTGAAAAGAAAGCAGATAAAACATATGTCAATGAAATATACCAAAGTTTGATAGGAACAAAAAAAAATATTGAAACTATTGTTGGTGACTTTTCTGTCAATGAAGAAAATAAATATTTTAGATGGCAGTTGGTACAGTCCTTAAAAAATGGTACACGGTGTAAACTCATTCCGAAAAATAACAATGAAATGTATGTAAGCTATAAAAAGAATGATGGTACACAAGTTAAAGTTCCATTAGACAACAACTGCTACTTAAACTTATATGGAGACGAACAAAAGAAATATTTAAGAGTTTATGAAATGGTGGATATGACATTGCCTGACCCAGCTCCGGCACCACATTATTATGACTATGGAGATGACGACAGAACACCACATGTAGATGAACAAAAGCTAACATTATATTTAGATTATTATAGATATAAAAGATATAATGCAATAGAAAAACGAGAATAGTATATTATTATACAGATGACAGAAATAAAATATATAGTCAAGATTTTACCTACCCTGAAAACATAAGATTATATTATAAAAATATTCTGACACAAACCAGAAGAAACCTGAAATAGTTGCACTATATTTTAAGTTCAAAAGAGACAATCCTATAATATCTCATATGTTTGATTTAATGAACCCAGTAGGTTCTATTTATACATCTATGGATGCAAGAGGTCCTCAAGTAATGTTTGGTGTTGGTGCATGGGAACAAATAGTCGACAGGTTTTTGTATTGTGCAAACTCTTCAAAGGAAACAGGTGGAAGTAAACGATTTCAGGTGAAAATTTACCTGCACACAGTCATTACATAGATTTAAGTACATCTCAAGCAGGTTGGCATAAGCATAGATATTGGGATTGGTCAGGAATGACAAAAGGTAAAGGATATGATGTTAAAGACGACGTTAAGTTTGCTATAAATTGTTACTGGAGTGACACTCAGGGAGAAGGAAACCATACACATTTCGTTTCAGGATATACGCAAACAACGGGACAAAGTAAAGAATACATGCCACCTTACATGACAGTTTACGCATGGTATAGAATTGCTTAGTCGTCATTTTCAACTTCTTTAGCATATTCGTCAGGAGTTGTCTTATATTTGTTAGGAACTGTCTTTGAAAGTATACCACCTTGAACTTTGACAAGTTTGAAAACGAGGTCTGCAATAGTAGTTTTATCTTCTGCTTGCAGTGTGTACATTTTGCCATGTTTGCCTAAAACTTCATAATATTCTCTTGTATACTTTCTTCTATTTTTACGAACACGAATGTGAGTACCTGTCGGGTTCCCATTGTTGTCATAGTCAATAGTATTTTCATATGGGTCGCGTTTAGGTATTTCTATTTTTACTTTGTCACCTTTCTGAAGTTTGAAGCCCGGCATTCTTTCTTGTTTGTCTCTTTTGACTAAATTATTAAATATATAGTCTTTCTCTAAGTCAGGGTTGTTTTCATTTCTTCGGGGGAGTGGTTTCCCAAACCTTTTTGTTTACGGTTATTGTAAATATTTAAAACTTGTCTCATCTTTGCCATGGAGAAGTGTCTATATTTGTCGTCATATGACATTTCATTTGCTTCACCACCTTGTGGTTGGTTTAAGTCTCTTAACATTTTTATACATCCGTCAATGACACCAAGAGCAGAATGGTTTTGGTCGACAATGAAATATTGGTTTACATTTTTGAACGCAGATAGTTTTTTACATCATCTGATTTGAAAGAACTTTCACAGTCAGATGTCAGTTTTGTTGGATGGTATTTGTCAACGAATACTGTCAAAGCAGTTTTCACATCTAAAATATTTTTGGACCATAATGGTATGGCTTCACAGTATCTTGTGTTTTGACCAACAAATATTAACCAGTATGGAGGTCCATCTGTTCTAACTCTCGGAATGTTTTCCAAGATATCCATAAACCAAGCATTTGGTGTTGAACTAAAGATTTTTATCATGAGTGCTTTCTTTGTCGCTTTAGAAACATAGGGTCCTTGTTCGGATTCGTCATTTTTTACCATATAAGAAATGGGTTTATTTGGCGCATTAGCAGGAGTTGCATCCAGATTTTTGCCCGCAGTGGGAACAATAGCCAGAGTGTATTTGGAGTTGGAAGGAAGATTTTGAGTACATTAGGTATACTTAAAGAGAAAGCACAACCTATTATACAAACTGTACAGAAAGGTTGGGATGTAGCACGAGATGCAACAAATCTTATTCCAAATCCTGAAACAAGAGGAAAAGTTCAAGGATGGATGGACAATGTAGGAAGACAAGCAGGAAACTATTATAACAAAGCAAATGACTACTATAACCAAGCAGGACACTATATGGACCAAGGTGAAAGATTCTTTAACAGAGGATATAACCATGCACAACAGTGGTAAACAATAACCAACCGCAACCACCTCAAACGTGGGAATGTAAAGTTTTTTATTGAGATGAAATGAACAATGCAGCATTGAGACAAATGAGTTCAAGATGGATTTGTCGGCTTCCAGCATTTACACACGTGTTTGTAAAGTTCTTCCTATACCTCAGGAAGTTTTAGACCGACTTAAAAAACCTAAACAACCAGTTGAAAACAAACCAAACTAAAATTTTTTACTGAGATGAAATGACCGAAGAAGTTGAAACGGTAGATTTGACACCACAAACAAAAAGTTCAGAACCATTGTCAAAACCTGTCAAAGAACTTACAGATGAAGAGAAAAATTCAATAATAGAAAGTGCCAGGTCTGGAAATACAAACCCTAACTATAAAGTCACTTTTCATAGAAATGGAACGGCTAGTATCTCAAAAAAGAAACAGACTCTCACAAATAAAATATTGAAGTCTGAAGGAGCTTTCGAGACAACAGATGGAAAAGTTTACTTCACTGACCAACAGTTCATTATAGAACATCTCATTGACTTAGAGTCGAAATATTCTAAACTTTACAACAAACACAAAAAGTTGAAAGGAAAACAAAAACAAATGGCATATGATATTTATGAAGATGTTGACGACACAACTGTTCCTGCAAGTGAAGTAAAGTCAGAGGAACCGAAAAGTGACGAAAAACCGATAGAAGAAGAAAAACCAAAAACTGAAGATAAACCAAAACCAAAGTTTAGTTTCCAAACTAAACCAAGTCAACCTTCATTAGCTGGTATGGGTTGGCGTCAAAGACTGATGGCAGCAGGCAGTTATGTAAAGTAAAGAAAAAAATATTTTTTTATTTTTATAAAAATGCCCCCATATAGAATGGATAGAAAGTCTGCTAGAATAAAAGCAGAGTTACAAAGATATGGTTGGAGAGTTTCGAAGAATTTTAAATATAGGAAGGGAAGACCCATAAAAGTCTATGACAAATTGTCTGGTCTTCGCTACGAAATGGATTTGGAAACAGCACGTGCCAATTATCCAAACAGACTAGAGAGGTTAGAAGAAGAACGTCTTATGGACATGCCTTTCGATGTTAGTGAACCTCAAGTTGAAGGACACGACGGCTTTGCCAGATTCTACTGGAAACATGACGAACAATTGCATCCTTTGAGAAGGAAAAAAGGAAAAGGTGAAGACGCACATGCTCCCATGGAAAGAACAAGATATGCATATGAAAAGTATCGTGAAGTTAGAAGTCAAATTACATCTGGTCGAACCTTTACAGTAAACTTTGACGAAGGAAAGAACAAAGAAGGCTTCATGGGAGTACTTGCTGCAATTCAAGACGGAAATAAGAAAGGACACAATCTCAGAATGACCATAACAGATTTGGATGGTCCTATGCACATGGCAATGAACAAACAGCCGCAAAACTTCTTGACGCTTTCAAGACTACAAAGAGAGAACAAATGGTTGACTCCGACTCAGACATTTTGAATGCAATTGAAGGAATTGCAAGTGTCAAGTTCGAATGGTACCAACCTAACCCTCAAGCAGTCAGACAACATGCTGGATACTTCCCGTTCATAAATAAGTCTGACATTGACTTGACAAGGTATGGAATTTACAATTCAATTGAAACAATTGTCAATGAACCTTGTATTCTTACATGTCTCAGGAACTCTGGTCTTGTTACAGATGAGAAGATGAAGTATCTTGAGTCATGTGTGAAGACAAGGTACATTCTCAGAGGTCAATTGGCAAAAATTGCACCGTTGGCAAATGTCAATATCCGAGTCAACATACCTACAGCTAAAGGTTCTTCACATGACGACTATGTTGTTGACAAAGACTTACCATGGTTGAAGATTGTAATTGTCCACAACCACTTCATGTTGAACGAAAGTCTTACAAACCCATTCTTTGGTAAAAGTAAGTGCAACATTGTCAGAGCTGTAAACATTCTTTTCGAGAAAGGTTTGTTGGAACCAATTCCAGATGACAAGCTGACAGAAACTTTTGTACCAAAAGACGAAACAAACTTTTCATTGTTAGCAAGACCAAAAGTTGTTCCAGACAAAGTTCTAGTACAAAAAAAGTACACAGATCCACAAGGGGTTGGTATGTTCGGATACCAACCTGAACCAGAAGAACTTCCAATGAGGTTGCAAGAACTTCAAGATGCTATAAACAAACTTCCATTGAGACATCCAATTGACGTCAAATTGTATTGGAGAGCATCAGAGTTAGGTCAGAAGGTTTTATATGAAACAGGTTGCTTCGACGATGTTTATGAGATAACAGGAGAAGTTTCTCAGAAGATAAGAGACTCACTTGAATTTCCACAAACTGGACCAATTGGTTGCGACAAGTTCGACTCAGATGAAAAGATATACTATGTCGACCTTAACGCTGCATACATGAGGTTTGTCCAATATATTCCGACTGGAATTCCAAACGAAGATGGTGAGTTCCCGGGAAGGAACTATACAGTTGGAAAAGTCATACAACAACTATATGATATTAGGAAATCTTCAAACCCCAAACTTGCAATGACACTCAAATTGCTTATGAATTCGACATGGGGATATTCCATTAAGAAACCTCAAGAGATGAAGAGTAAACATTATGAGAAGGTCGACAACTTTGTTGAAAGGTTTTCTCCTTTTGTTTTGAAGTACGAATTCACTCAAGGTCAAAGTGGCTTAGTAACCACATTAAAACCTATTGTCAAACATTGGTCTTACCCTCAGTTCGCAAAGGCAGTCCTTGACGAGTACAACAAATTCTTCTCCGAAGTCAAATCGAAAGTCAAGGTTTACTATGAGAACATTGACGCACTCATGACGAACGAAGAAGGATACAACAAACTCATTGAAATGGGTTTAGTCGGTGAAAAGATGGGCTGTTTTAAGCTAGATAAGGTATTTTCCGAAGTTCATGTCCTCTCCAAGCGTAAGTACTGGGGTGTTAAAGAAGATGGTGAAATAGTTAAACATTGCATGAAATAAAAACGTTTTTCAAAAAAAGTGACATTTTTTTATTTTATTTGAAATGTACGCTGAGTTTGTTGGAGAAGACCGTTGGGAAACTTGTTTGTTAGATGAGAAATATGAAATGGCATAGCATTTTAAAACAATATATTTTTACATATATTAAATGCTTCAGGTTGAAAAACAAAGAACAAAAGTAGCAGATACAAAACCGTTAGACTATATCTTTACAAATGCTGGTAGGACTATTTCAGATGAAGAAATTTCATCCCGAGCATACAGGTTTGACTATCCAATTCGTTGGCTTCAAAGTCCTTCAGATGCAAAGGCAATAGGATTTAGAAGAGTTTTGTTTTCAAATAGAACTAACGCATTTATGCTCGCAGTATATTTTCATGGTCAGTATAAAGGCTCTGATGGTCTAATAGAAAAATTTGACGAAATGAGAATCTTTACAGTTCGTTCAGACGAAAGTCTTGAGAAAACTCTAAATGACTTTCAAACTCAAATGAACAAATATTATTGGGAATTTCAAGAAAAATACGACTCTTTACTAAATGGAACATACTATCTGAAACTAGAATATGACAAGATGAACTCCACCGTTTCATTTCAAAAGATTGAAATTAACCCTCCAAGAGATACAGAGTTTTTATTTTGGGAAGTAGACAAACGTTCTTGGGCACAATTTCTTCGGTTACTAAACCAGAACGAACCATTACCACCAGATGGTCCATTTAAATTTATACTTCCACCAACAGATTTGATGGTTTATAGAAACGTGTTTGACCCTCAAAATGTTATGTGTCATGCAAGTTTCAGTTCAAGCAACAATAGTTTTCTATGTATTGGTAAGGACCTTTATGACTTTGCTTCTAAATTCTACGAACCACCTAGTAACAGTTTCTCTGACTTTCAAGTTTGGTTCACAACAAATGGTGTGCAACATATTATTCCATTGTACTATGACTTTTATCTCGAATTGTCTTTCATATATAACTACGGAAAAGTGCTGAAAAAGTATTGAATGTGAAGATATTAGAAAATAACATTTTTTCTAACATCGTAGAAAACTCATGAAAACAATTTATTTTTGACACTTTCACAAAAAACATAAAAAAAGTGAGTTAAAATGAGATGTTTACTGAATTGGTTGGATGTCGCCTTCACAGGTTATGTAGAATGGTTGACCAGAGAAGTGGAACAGTGCTCTGAGAATTTGTATAATTCGTGGAATTGGACTCTCTCTGTTTGGAAGTTGTATCCATGGGCGCTTTGCAAAGAACTTGAGAAGAGCTTCTCTTTTGGCGTCCTTTATGTCGTCTATAGGAGTGTTTTCTGGTATTTGAATTGGAATTCCAGTCGAAGTCTCGAGCTGAAGTGTAGACCTTCCCGTTATCCAACCGTTAACAAGCTTGTCTTTTACATTCTGCCTGAGGAAGTCTTTAACAAGCTCGTTAATTTCAATTAGGTAAATTGCCTCGTCGGTAGGTTCGACCTCGACCATTGCTACTGTCAGAAAAAGTACTGCTACTGTCAGTAAAAGTACTGCTACTGTCAGTAAAAGTACTGCTAGTAGCAGAGATTTTTATCGTTGTGGTCCGACAGGACACAAACGAATGTCCGACGTCCCACCAACCGAGTCCATTCCCAAACCAGAGGAACCTAAAGAACCACAACAGTCTCCTCAGCAACCTCAGTTCCAGCAAGTACCTCCGAATTACTACCAATTTCCACCTCAAGGTTACTACCCACCACAAGGCTTCCCGAACTACCCTCCTCAGCCTATGCCTTACTTCCCCAACCCTTGGATGTTCCAGCAAGCTCCACCCCAGCAATTCCAATTCCAATCTCAATCGAAGAGAGACCAAGAGTTCGAGGAAGGTCTGAACCGTTTACGCAAAGAGTATGCTACAGCTCCAATGGAAGAAGACAGGCTCTCAGTCTCTTCCCTCAAATCGACCGATTCGACTCGTACCACAGATTCGGCTCGTGACCGTGAAGACTACCTCAAGCAGTCTGAGAGACTCTTCATCTTACAGCCATTTACAGCTGGAGCTCTCAAGAACATGCGCAATTACGAAGGTCAAACACCAGCTGGAGACCGCAAAACAGATGTGCTTACAAGAGCAGTCAAACTGGTCAAGACAAAGACTGAGATAGTCGACTTCATTCTTGCAGCTTGCCCTTACAAGTAAAAAAATAAACAATTACGAATTAAACTTTTTACTCTTTCTTTTCTGAGTTGTTTAGAGCTGGTTTCTCTTGTAGAAACCTTTCGTACTCTTCCATGGTCATGTAATTGCGAATTTGGTACGCAATTCCAGGTTCGTTGTTTTTGAACCTGATGTATGTAACGCTTCCATCCTCCTCAGGGAAGTAAGCTGCTAACATCTGACCAAGTTTTCTCGGTGACTCGGAGCTCATAAAAATGTCACTTTTTAAACGTTAAGTTTTTAGTCTTAATTTACCCTTTGTTTGTCAAAGTGGTATTGGAGTGCAATTTCTCCAAATTCTCTGTGTCGGAGTTCTTCAGCATTTTCCAAGGTGTACCTGGAGAACTCAAAGAAGTTGTCAAGAAGATACTGCCATGCTGCTCTTCTGAGTTCGTCGGTATTTTGGAAGTGTTGCACCTTCGAGTCTTCGGACATGAAAAAATAACACTTTTTCTATTAAACCGTTTTGGCATTTCTCATGAGTGAGTATAGTTCTGCCGAACCATTGGAAGAGAAGAAGTACCCTTGCTGGCAAAAGACAAAAATAGTTGCCTTAGTTGTCATTGCAATTGTACTCGTAATTGAATTCATTGTACTTCTCTTCACGTACATAAAACTCAGCAATGGTATTTGCTTTAAGAAGCTACCATCTTACTAAGACTAAACACTTAGATTTTTCACAAGCTTGACTTTTACAATTTGAACTTTGTTTGCGTAGATATGAATTCTGAAAGAAGTATGAGGGTCTTGTATGACTTTGTACTTCTCCATAGTTCATGTCTGTCAAACTTACCTGCCATGGACTCTTTCATAAGTTCCATGAAATCGTCTTCGGACAATCCGGGGAAAAGTATTATGTCAGTAAGTATTCTTTTTAACATCCTTACTTAAACTCTTTGCTGTCTGTACACAAATGACAACTGACATGTTAAAGTGTCTGAGCTTCTTAAGAATTCGACACATATCTTGTTCTCTATTCTTTAACAAAGGATGAGAGGCGAAATCATCTAAGATAAGAAGACATCTATGAGGGTAAGTCTTCCAATCGTAAGATTGCAATTTCTTCGAAATGTATTCTATCTCTTTCTGTTTGTTTTTGAAGTGTTTCTTCTCTAATATTCTCTGCATTTCCTCATTAGGTCTTTGAACTTAGAATTTATATACTCATTTATAGCATTATACTTCAAAACTCTTTCTTTGGTACTTCTTTATCCAATCTAACAACTCAGTATCCTTATACATACTAACTTAGACTTCTTTATAATATCTTTGAACGAATTGACGGTTT